GCTTGCAGAGACTACAAACCTCATACGGGTCACTCTGTGTGAGCCGTAACCTACTCATAAGAGCACCTATATCCCAGTTGATACCTTGACAGAATTATGACTGGGATTTAAGCACAATGCGTAGGTTGTCATTACCCTGACATACCCCTATATGCCCCTTATATGAGCTACAATCACTATTTCCCCAGACAATTAATGACATGGGTTCCTTATTAGGGAACATATTAGGGACTATACTAAATTACAAAAGGAACCCCTATGTCCACCCGTAGGGTCCCCGAATAGAGCTAATTTTGATAGCAGCTCATATAGCCCCTATGTATCCCGCCAAATTGGGTGATAAATCACTCTGACCCTCCAAGTAAGGTTTCAAAAGGCGAGTGTCCGCTCAATCATCTTAACTCCCGTGGAGAAACTGCTGCACATGGACTGAGTTTGGTCTAGCCTGGGCATCGTGGCGCCCAACACACGGGTTAGAGTTAAGGCATCAGGGCGCATGGACTCTAAAATGTGTAATGATTGTACCGGGATGGTTTGGCTCCTTCTTGAGGCTTCTACAGTAGGGGTCTAGAGTGTAGGGCTCAGGATCTAGTGCTTAGGGCTTTAGGTTGGACACTGCCCCCAGCGTGTAATAGTCATGTATATAATGCTCTGGCAAACAATGTGATATTCCTAAGTTGAGAACTGTTATAGGGTCGGCGCAGTACCCTAAACCCTCAACCCTAGTCTGAAGAAACAAGTATACAAGGGGTACCCGCCCAGGGTAACGTAGGGACAGCTTCAGCAACTCCCATATGGAATTTCTAGAACAGTGCCACAACTTAGCCAAATAACGAAGCCCATATCCCCAAGAATATGCAGCGTGAACTCGGATCGAGAAAAACACAAAAAAGATAAATCGTGGGAACAAACTACAGTAGATGTTACAGTAGATTATATTGGCACTTATAACCCAGATGAGGAATTAGGGGATTTAGGACAATCTACTGTAAATTCTGGTGGAATCAGTTTGTTGAATAAAGGATCCCCAACATGGACCCACATAGATACAGGATTTGTCTGTTGAGGTATGTGGACGTGCGCTTGCATTGACAGATTCCATATACAGGCAGACCCCACTATAAACCCAAAAAACCTTGTTAAAGGGACCCCCAAGAAGGACACCTCCTTTTGGAAATTCTGCAGCCCCTGCTTTGAGACACCTTTATGTTCAAACCATCCCGTTTAGGATTTGTTTGGGTAATCCCCCTAATATAGGGGGGTTTACTAAGTGGCTATGACTCCTAGTATTTCTCATGGTAAGTACTGCTGTAGCGGGGAATCACCATCACACGCATTTCCTGGAGTCCTAAACTTCTCTCCGCATAGCCCTGCCCTCCACCAAGACAGCATATAAGCGGCAGCTGGCTTTCATGAGGTCGCTGCATCTGGGGGAAACGCGCAGCAAAAAACTCCAGGGAGACACAAGGGGAATCGACGCAGAGGGCAATCCTGTAATGGTGTACATGCTGAGGATACACGGGCCCCATAAGGACCAAAGAAGATCCCCTCCCTCCCTTGTCCCTGCGACTTTAGACTCCAATTTCAGACCCTAAACAAACAGAGACCACAAAAAGTGCAAGATCACCCTGGCAAGGCTTCCAACATCAACGAATCCAAAATCCTGGGAGGCCCTGTATAAGCGCTTCTGGAAAATCACTCTGTAGCACAAAAAACGAACAACAGACTGCCGGCTGTGACTCCCACATGTTTACATACGCACACACACACAAAATGTATATATGTATGTATTCATATATACATATATGTGTATACGTCTATATATGTCTATGTATATATGTGGATACAGGTTTGTATCTTTATGCCTACGAGAACCCAAGATGCTTATGTTGGGGAGGTCGCATCCTTCAGGTTAGAAATCCTGAAAGTTATGGGTTTGAGTTGAGGTTGCGTCCAACCGGCATCTTGATGTTCTGGGCCGCATGCAGTACCGGGGAGACCCCATTCTTGAGACAGTCACCCTAAACTTGAAACAACAAATCCTAAACCCAACTGCAACATAAGACAGTCCTTTCCAGGTCTCCTCCTAATGCTCCCCACATAACCTCTTCTACCCTCAATAAGGGAGCCTCTACATTTCAGAACATCCGTTAGTGGTCAGGATCCTGAACTCGCGACCCAAACCCAAAGCCATAACTCCGATACCACCAAACAAAGCTCAACCCATGACCATAAACCCCAAAGTAATCCTGAGCCCTAGGCTCGAAATCCTACATACACCCGTTCACCCCCACCCCTAACATTAAAGCCGTTGTTCCGATGTAGTAGGTCTCGTATGGAGGAATATTCAACGTCAGGGGGGTGGGGATTCAGCAGCCGAGGAACAGGGCCGTAAGCTCATCTAGTCGCTGCGACATCAATGAGAAGTTGAACCTTTCCAGTCTCTGATATAAAGGGTTTAGCTGGGTACATGGAAAAGAACATAGAACCTACTGTTTAGGGTTGAGGGAGGGGAGACTACCCCAAACATTTCCCGTCTCTGATAAAGGGTCTAGGGTTAAGAGCTTAGGGTTACAAAGGCATATACAGTGGCAACGGAAAAAACCATGGAATCTGTTGCCTAGAGTTTAAGGTTTAGGGATATTACCCCAATGTGAAATTGAACCGTTCTAGTGTTTGACATAAGGTTTTGGGTCTAGGGTGTTACAGGGCTATATGAGGATCTTCAGGGGTGATGGAAAAGAAAGTGGACTCTGCCGCTTAGGATTTATTAGGGATAGTAGCCCGATGAGAAGTCGAACCTTTCCGGTCTCTGATGTAGGGCTTCGGGTTTGATAGGGATATATAGGAAAAGAAAATGCAACGAACATGAAAGAAACTCATCCAGGACACACAGCAACCACACTTACTGGTTCTCAGTAGGGCATAAGAGACTCAAATCCCCACATAAGCCCGACATGATATATCCCCGTATCCCCTTCTAAGAATGAGGAACCAATGAGAAGTTGAAGATTTCAACTCTCTGATATAAGGGCTTTTATGGGGCCTAAATGCTTAACAATTATGGCGCTTGCGTAGGGGCTATGTAGGGCTCAGGGGCGTTATCCTTTTGAGAAACTGAACCTTTCATAACAGGCCCCGCATATCGGGAAAGATTAAGGGCCCCTGTAGACATTATTCTTTATTGGGGATGACGACCCATAGCAAAAGAAGTTTCTTCCCAGGAATAATTACCACAGAATATTGTATTTACAGTGATAACATGCCCTTAATAATGGTCTCATACATGATTGCTATTCCAGTCTCTGCAATTTGGGATCGAGGGCTGAAGGCAAATCACGGGGGTGTTTGTGCTTGGGGTATGCCGCAATTCACGACCATCCAGCCAGATTTGCGCACTATTCGTACACTATTTGCAAACCTAGTTGCAAACCTATTAAGGGACTCCCGACAAGAGAGCGGCGGATTTTCATAGACTAGAGGCTTCATGTTTCTGCCTTGATTTCTTTGTACGCGTGGGTGCTTCTTTTCATCCAGAGTTAGCAAAAAAGCTGTGCAAATAGGTTTGCACTTGGCTTGGAAATGGTAGGCAAACCTGTGCAACAGCCCTGTTGTCGCCTGCAAGAACTCCCTCCAGCTTTTCTTCTGGCCAGCCACTTTCAATGTTGTGTGATTGGTTGTGCTATGCAGTCAAGTAGATAGAACTAATTGGTAGTGCTGCGGGAGAAGATGCTCTCAACATTGATTTTTTGGCGACTGGCTGAGCAAGAGCCAGTCAAGGCTCGAAGCTAGGTTTTCGGAAGGTCATGAGGGCCAATGACAAGCCGGCTATAGCTCAACTGGCAGAGTATCTGCACCCCGAAGCCTGAAGCTTGAACCATGTCTGGGGAAGAAGTCTTTGTACGGCATAGTCCCAGGGAATCTTACAGGGACCCACCGAAAAGCACAAAAAGCCTACCGCACATGGGCGGGAACGGTCAGGGCATAGGGACCCTCTGAGGAGAAGGCGTGCGTATGCTTGGGAAGATCTCCCCCAGAAAAGCCGCCCTCATCCCATTGACTGATTTAACTTGAAACCAAAATCCCGGCCCCAAGCCATCACCTCTGCAACCTAACCCTGAAGTCCAGACCCTAAATCCTGAACCCCAAAACCCAAGAACCTAAACCCAAAGATCCAGAAGACATCTGAAGACCCTAAACCCTAAACCCTAAACCCTAAAACCTAAACCCTTGGCGCTTGTTTGAAACTCCCTGGGGCCACCTGGCAAGCTCGAGGAGCTCATCCTGCGGATTTCTGATGTGGATGAGTTTGGGTATAGGGGGTTTCCCAAAATTAGGGGTACCTATGGTTACTATAATGGAGAATCAAATGGAAAAGAAAATGGAAAATGAAATGGAAACTGGGTTTATATAGGGAATTATAGGGATTAGGGTTTATGGTTCAGGAATTTAGGGTTTAGGTTTCAGGGATGTAGGGACTCAGGGCTTGGGGCGTAGGATTTAGGGCCTCAATAGGTTCAGGGGTTCAGGGTCGAAGGTTGAGGCTGTGGGTTTAGGCCTTGGGGCCAAAGCCCCAAGTGACCTCCATCAGGATGTTCCTTCAGTGTCCCAGGTGGTTCTTCTTCCAGGGCACGAATGAAGATCCCCGCCCCCCCACCCCAGTCCGACATAAAGAAGTGACGGTATATCCCCTTAATAACCCCAATAATGGAGAATCAAATGGAAAATAAAATGGAAAATGAAATGGAAACTGGGATTGCATAGGGATTATGAGGGTTATAGTCTAAACTCCTAGTATCCCCCTTAATATCCTCTATAGTAGTCCCCTATATAATCCCTTATATAAACCCCCTTTAAGGAGTTTAGACTATAGCTCATATGCCTACCCGACCCACTGAATCGGAGCTGGGGGTGGACAGACCTAGCACGCGGTAAGACGCGCACGGCAGTGTATTGCTATCTTCTGGTTACCGACAATGCGGAAAAGTTGAGAGGGCTGCTTAGACGAGCAGCTCAAACGACTTGTTGCTTGCTTGTGGGCACCAAGTAAGAGGTCTCAGACTAGCACACGTGTGCCAATAAGCTTTAGGGCTTAGGGTTCGTGGGGGATTGCCTGTAGCAATAATACAAAAGAATTTGCAATTTATAGTTAAGGGTCTAGGTATATCCCTTAACCCCCTAGATCCCGCACTGCAGCCGGGGGTGGGCGGGTGAAGCAAACACCCCTCAAACCCCACCTTGACTTCCAAGATACTTGGAGTCTTTGTAGAACTTCTCTCTGTGGATGCAGGCAAGTGTTCGCTTGAATCTTTGAGGTTGAGAAGGTGCGCAACCCAGAACACAGAGAGAGAGAGAGAGAGAGAGTCCTGCTGGTGCATGGTGTGCATCAAGTTGTATTTTATAAATCTCGGCGCTGTCTTGGAGTCGTGCACCCATCCTCGAGAAAGAAGTTTCAAGCTCTTCGGGTGCAACAGTTTTGGGTGTGGTGGCTTCAGGCATAGTGGTGTCTAAAGACATTGAGTTTTTTTCTTGGGAGCGGGGGCTGCGCTACAAATCCATGTAGGGTTTAGGGGTTTAGGGGTTTTGGGGTTTAGGGGTTTAGGGTTTAGGGTTTAGGGTTTAGCAAATGACACATGGGAGCCCAGGTTTTCAATTTGGGGTTGAAGTGTTGAGCCCAATGTCCGTTAGACTAGGCCTTAATGCACTCACAGTGGCCACATGATATGAGGGCCCCTCTATATTCCTATTGCACCACTGGTACCAGGTGGGAGCCTAATCTAAAATGAAAGCTACGGGAATGTGGAACTTCGAATCTGAATGGAGAGGGAAGAACCCTGAACCCCAAAACCTGACCAAGTAATCCCTAAACCCTAAACCTCGCCCCAAATTGGTTGAAATAGCAGCTTCCATTTTTCCAGTCAGGAGAGCTATCTAGCCAGGCCTTCTGTCATTCAGGGTTTAGGGTTTAGGCCAGTGCTCCGAGCGGCTTGCGTGCTGCTAGTATTCACAAGCGGGCCTCCTTCAGGTGGTGACGCTTCATCGAGCACACGGCCGTCTTAAGAAGACCCTCACCCCCACCCCCCAAAAAATGCGTTCCGGAGGTCCTCAAATGAAGGGGTTCCGAACTTAGGGGTGCCTTTTTTCGGCCCTGGACGAGCAAGGATATTGATCCTTTTGGGGTACCCAGGAAAGCCTGAAACCAGACGGCTTCCTACAAAGGCTACTGTCCCTGAAACAGGGGCTGCAGGCACAACTTCAGGTTGATAGTTGCCAAGCGGGTACCCCCACATGAGGCTTGTATAAAAGTTGGGTTATATGACGTGGATGTAAGCCTCCTGCCCACTCCGTATCTAGCCACCTAGAAAGCTCTTTGACACATTAGGCTTCTTGTTTGTTCATGGTCGTGCTTTAGGTAAATCCCCCACCCAGTAATGGGTGCCACAAAGGACTATTGCAGGTATATTAAGGCCGACCCTGTTATGGTACCTATATTCACTCCTCCACCCCCCCTTCCGCACCAGTAGGTTTAGGGGTAAACGCAAAATTAGCCCTCAGTAGGGGATTGCAATAGGGATCCTAAACCCTAAACCCTCACCCTTAAACCCTCGCCTCAACCCTAAACCCTCAACCCTAAGCCCTCAACCCTAAACCCTCGCACCTAAACCTTCAACCCTAAATCCTCACCCCCAAACCCTCAACCCTAAACTCAAATCCGGCAAGAAGCGACTCAGCGGAACCACGAACTCCTCAGCTTCTATCGCGCCTGCAGAGAGGCGGGACTTCTAAACCCTAAGCCCTAATAAACCCTACCCTAACTTACTGGGGGTTAGTAAGGAATTGGGGAATGTACTATATCGAGATTTTACAGGGCCTATCTTCCTTCATTCCCTACTGGCAACCAGTAAGCTCAATAGTAGTTTCCATGTTCTTTTCCATTCTCGAAAAATGCATCCAGAGTTGGGGTTGCGCCTTCAGCTTATGCTTCTCAAAAGCCGTTTCCTTTTGTATTAAGACTTACTATAATCTATAATCCCCATATCACCCCTATACGACCCCTATAATTTCAGTAGTTTCCATGCTATTTTCCATTATCCCAATACAACCACCCCATGCTGAGGATCTTCCTTTTTGCCGTGTTGGGGGAACGGAGGTGTTTTCAGATATATCCTTTGAAAACCCAATAGCAGTTCTACAACCATGTATACCCTCCATAGTATATGGGCCAGAAACAAGAACCTGCAGTTCCAATATTTCCGACGATACTCGAACAGAGTCCCTTCATAATCGTTGAAGGCGGGCGCCCTCAAAGGCGAACCCACCCGGAGAGTACAAAGTGATGATGTGAGGACTCGTAGAGGCCCATGCGCAAGGATGACACAAGGCACTTTCAATCGAGAAGTGCACGCTCCTTGTATCGCAGGCCCTTTGAGGATCGACTTGCTAGAAGTGAAAAGTAGGTCCAGTGTAAGATCAGGTTAAGAGCCTTGGCTCCTTAGTGCAATGAATCCTGCTGAAGCCTCTGGTGGCACAGATGATCCTGTGCTAGACCTGTCGCAATCGACTTTACAGTTGGCGCCGTCAGGTCCTCCAGTGATTTTGGGGCCCACGTAACATCTGCCCATTGCAAATAGCTCTACATCCGCGGATATGTCCAATCCTAATCCCTTTCTGAGTGAGGGTATGCAAGCAGAGTATGAGTTGGCTTGGGCGAGACCTCGAGGACTTCCATTAGATGATTCCCAAACAGGGAGTGCAAGATCAGAGGCTACAGCAGGAGGTGAGCGCGGGAGTGTACAAGGCCTGCCGCATGAATTCCCTTCTCAGGTAACAGCATCCCAGGTACGACGTATACACAGCCGTATAGGGAACCCCAAAGTAGTCCCAAAATGCCAGAATCCTTGGGCCCCCAAAAGGTACCCCTAATTTTGGGAAACCCCCAAATATGCGGAACCTGATCCATCCACATCAATCATTTCGAACAGCTGGCGCAGGTCTACTTCCTGGCGTGGGTTTAGGGTTTAGGGTATGGGGCATGGATTTTATATGCTCTATATAACCCTAGCTGTCATTTGATGTTGCATTTGATGTCTCATGTGACTTTCCGTTTGATTCTCCATCATCCCTTAACCCTAAACACGAAATAGTACTTCCCACTTCATTTTGATTTAGGTCGGTTTTGAAAGTGTCAACAGTCGAAACATGATGTCTGTAGAATAGGCAAAGCTTACACATTGCCCATGGTGAATGGCGAAACGGGTGCCCATAGTGCATACATAATCCTCGATTATACCATAGTACCTTCCATTTTCTGCTCCATTCCCAACGGGCATGGGCTTAGGGTTTCTAGGCGACCAGAGGGCGTGCTTGTTCTGCGGAGGTTAGGCCTCCAGATGGCTCAGGATGTATAGCTTTAGGGATTCGACTGCTGTGGGGAATTCAGGAGTTCAAGCTTCATAAGGCTTGGAGCCCAGGGTTTATGGTTGCAGGTTTGGGCTTTTGAACTTGCCAGGTTAGGAATCCTTTGGTTAATGGTTTGCTCAATTGGCATTTGCTGCCTGTTTCTAGAGTTTTCAAGGGGTTTCCAGGGGGTTACGACTAAGGGCTACAAAGGGTTACAAGGGGGGAGGCAAGGGGGCTACGAGGGGGTCTAGAGGTTTCCAGGCGGGCCCCTCCCAGTTTAGAACAAACCTGTTGTTCCATCGGGTCCGGTCAGCCTCATTATTTGTAACCCTAACCTTAAGTCCTCAAGCCCGAACCCGCAACCGTAAACCCTAAACCCTACGCAAACCTTAAACCTGAACCTCTAGGGGGCATGCATGGTTCACCCACGCCCCCTGAAGGATCCAAAGCCACTAGCATGGCCTTAGTATGACATTGGGAAAGCTAGGGGATTCTTTCTTATTGGTAGTCGTATTGTTATTATGATTGTTCAGTAGTTTCTGTGTTCTTTTCCATTTCCCTTACATAACCCCCTAGGAGGTTTGATCTTGGGGGCCCTTTAGGAGCGCAGGGCTGAAACCCTAAACCCTACACCCTAAAACCTAAACCCTTAACCCTAAGCCAAAAACCCTAGGCCCTAAATCCTAAGCCCTAAACCCCAAACCCTAAGCCCTAAACCCTGAACCCTAAACAGTAAGATTGAGCAAAGCTTCATCAATGTCCATGACCCGAAGCCGGCTCTGAAATTCAGCATCCTTACCTTGGCTGCTGTGGGATCCTATGTGCATAGGCTGGGTCTAGGGTATAAGGTTTAAGGTCTAGGGTTTAAGGTTTAAGGTCGGGTTTAAGGTTTAGGGTTTAAGGCTTAAGGTTCAGGGTTTAGGGTTCTAGTGTTAAGTGTAGATGGTCAAGGGGATTTGGGGCTGAGAGTTGGGGCTGAAGGACCAATAAAGGCTGATTTCTGGGCTTGGAGGAACTGATTCTTGCCCAGATTTGGGGGTTATGCTTTCTGTCCTGTTTTTGCGACTGTCCCCTGCCATTTTCCCGACTTCCTGACCCGGATGTATGATACATCCGGGTCATGATATTTTGGTTGCTATATCAGGACGCCTGACAAGTCCTGGTTGCCTGGGTGCATGCGGCGAGCTCCCTCTTCAAGTCGTTGGAACCCTCCTTTCCTAAAAGAAACCCCTGCCGCGACGACCCCGGAGCTGAATTGCCCTACTGCCCGCAACAAAAAACATGTAGGGCATTGCACGCAGTTGGGATTTGGAATCACGCCACCTGCAGGAATATGCTGACTTCCAGGAGACTGCTATCGCCAACACAAATGTGAAGAGAAAAGCCAGGGAAATCCCCAGCACTGCCGTCTATGACCGACTCCTATACTCTTCGAAAACGTCACCCCTCTCCCCCATATTATCTCGTAAACTTTTGATGCCCGCAAAAAATAGGCTTCTACACACACCGCCTAGGACCTAGGACCTCCGATGCAACAAGCACTCCGAAACCTTTGTGTACGTTGTTTTGACTTGGCTGGGCTTTGCGGGTCAGGGCCTAGTTGCCGCAAACCGACGTAAGGCGCGCCAAAAAGGTTGGCATAGGGGAACTTGCGTGGATTACTGCTACTAAAAAACCTTCAAATCCTCCATGAGCTTCGTGCACAGTAGCACAACAATTACCTATGTGTGAGGAGTTTATGGCGTTGGGATTTTCAGTATCAACTGTATCTCCTAGTCGACACTCGAGGTTGGCTCCCTTGCGTGGTTTAGGGTTTTGGGTTCTGATTCCGTTGGGAAACTCTCTGGCCGGCGGCATAATTAATCCTTCCCTGAATGCTAAACCCACCCACCCATGATAATAACAAATCAACCTAGTACATAGTGGTACCAATTTGGGAATCATTGTTTGGGTGTTGGCATAGCACGTGCAATCATGGGAGATCTTGTACGTCCAAACTCAAATCCTCTCAAGGTTTGCCATTGCCGCTATGGTGATTGGAACAGGCTTTTGGGAGCAGTACTATTGTTTAGGGTTTAGAGTTTAGGGTTTCATTCATGTTACATGATGGTTGCAAAGAAGTCAAAAAAGGCTTGCGCATTACCAACACAAAGCTGTCCATATCTCCAGGCCTGCGAACGCTGAGCAACCCAAAAACCTAAAGCCCAGAAAGCAGAAGGACCTCCCAAGCCTATAAACCCTAAACCCTAAATCCTAAAGCCTAAGCCCTAAATCCCAAACTCTGATTCCTGAACCCTAAGCCAAAAAATTTTTGAACCTGAAGAATTCAACCCAACCCGCAAGTAGCAAGCCCGAGATGCGTGCACCTTCTAGGAGCTCGTCTAGTGAGAGCTCACCTGGAATTCTCGTTAAATTTCGTGCTCGGAGTTGAATGACTATGGAGTTTAAGGCCTAGGGTTCAGGATTTAGGGCTTCAAGGGTTTAGGGGCCATGGGGGTTAGGGCTTAGGGCTCATTAGGGGCTATGGGGGTTTAGGGCTTAAGGCTTCAGAGCTCAGAGTTTGGGGCTTAGAGGTTCAGGCTTGAGGTTTCTGGCCTACTTAGGATAAGTATGGCTACAAGCTGGTTCGGGGACGTATATCTTACTTCTGACTATCCAAGAACCTCCAAGTAGGGTTCACAGGTTAGTCCAGTGATAAGGGAGGCCTTTAGGGTTTAGGGTTTAGAGTCTGATTCTTCCGGCATCTGATTCGGATCAGTACCGGGCTTTCAGGCGTGTAAAGGGAAGGGTTATTGGCGATGTTAAGTAGATTTACTACATGAGGAGCCTCACAGTCCCTATATAACCCACTTTTTAAACCCCTGTAAGGAGTTTAGACTAGTTGAGTCCAGATGTAGTTTGCGTTTCGAAGATCGGGCAGGCCACATGTTTATAGAAAAAAGGACCCCTAATTCATCAAGCTCACATGTTGAGTTCCACTACAACAACATTATTGAGAGCAAGCTGCATGGAACTACCCAAAAACGTGGCACAAAGGAGGTTTTAAGACACTCAAGCAAGAAGATATTCTGACTCTGGGACTTCCGAACGAGACCTACCAGAACTGCAAGTGGATCCTTGTTGAGGCCCTTCCGTTGCTCCGTGTCTCTTGCGGATGCGATACTCCGTTAAAGGTGTAAACTTCTTGCTAGATTAATACAAAACTGCGCCCTGAGTGGAATTTCCCGAAAACACTCCCACGTTGTCCATTGCATATCACAATCAAGCCACCCTTCTGCTTGACATCGAGACGTTCGAAAATCTTTTGCAGAATCTTTTTGTCAATCTCCTCGGCACATGGGCTGAGTTTAGGGGTGTCTATGGGGTCTCGGGGTCTATGATCCAATGAAGTCATCTTGGGCAAGGTATAGCTGATGTCATCAAGGAATGGAAAAGGAAATGGAAACTACTATAATGAATTATATAGGCTTAGGCTTTAGGGGCCCTTTCCAAAGGGCTACAGTCTACAAGCCTAGAAACCCCTTAATAACCCCTAAAAGACTCCCCTCTATGATCCCCTATATAATCCTCTTCTACGGAGCTTAGATTATATCACCTAGTCTTCAAGGAGCATGCAAACCTCCCCTGAAAAGAAGCCTTTTCCAAGGGTGTAGGGTTCCCTAAACACTAAACCCTAAACCCTAAACCCTGAACCCTAAACCCTAAACGCTCACTTTCTGCAGATGGGGTCCTAGGGCTTAGGGACGCAGGCCACCCAGAAAGAATCCAAATGGGGTTGCTCGCCATTCAGACACCCCCAAATCCCCACTGCATCAAAAGAAACCTAGCACAAAAGGCTGCTCATCTGCAAAACAACATACAGGTTCCCCAGGTTTGGAATCAGTGGGTTGCAATGGGCGTCCTGCTGGCGGGGCCAAGGAAGACAAAACAACGTGAAAACATGCAGGTCCGGGGTTGTAAGCGGGGCATGCAGCGGGATTACCATAACTTTGCCTGCTTGGCATCATACACGCATGAACCCTGAAGCATGGTTGAGATGAACGGCTTGCACTTTGAGATGCTTTGGGTCAACCTCATCATGCACTGCTGGCATGAGTTCTGCTTTAAGAAGCGCACATATTGTCTCTGGTGAGCCACTAATCATTCTTGATCTTAAACGGTCCACGCTCTAGCGCTCAGAGCTTGGGGCCGTGATACAGTCCCCTGCTTTCGGTGTCATAGCATAACGTCCCCTTGGTCTCGTAAGCTGAAGTGCAGTAGTGTTCGAAGGATGGGCTGTTTATTACGTGTCTGTTGAGTTCCCCAACTCCACCCCAATGAATACCCAGACCAACTTTGAAACGCGTGATTGTGCGCATGATCGGAAGATGTGAACAAACAATCGTCTGTGGAAGAAATAGCTGGGTTGGCCCCACTCGACCAACCCATCATTCATAGAACGACCATGGCCAACATGCCCCCCAATATACAAGCCCCCCAAACTAGGAAAGCCTAGTAAACCATAGTAAACCTTAAGGAACCTTGATAATCCCCTTCACTTTTCGGGCCTTGACTTGTGGGGGGCCCATGTACTGCGGGCCCATAATAGCCCCATCGCTCATTTGGAGGTGTCTCCGGACGAGCTAGGATCCCGTGGCTAGCCTGGACAAATGTCAATTCCGTTCTTGACAGCTCTGGCTTCTGGCAACTCAACACCTAAAACCAACTTAGGGTTTAGCTTTACCCTTTTTGTTGTGTGCGTTTTGGGAACCTGTGAAGGCACCCTCCCAAACTGGGCGGAGGTTGCAATAGGGCTAGAACCAAACATCGGAAAAGCCCAGCGTCGAGGTTGTGGTCCAGCTCCTGCGCTAAATTCAGCACGTCGCTTTCTCGAACCTCTGCGAAAGTGTCGACGACCACAGCCTTAGAGCTGCGAACCAAAACCCTCTTTTCGGTTAGATAATTTGGGTTATATGTGGGTATATAGGTTCTAGAGGGTTATATTAGAGAGTTATATATATATAGGCTTTGTACAAGCTTGTGTAGGGTAATGACGAGAAGAGAAAGGGAACTACTATCCTAAACTATTAAATTGCTACTGAGCAGCAGGAAAAGGACGTGTTCCGGGGACTACTATTTGGCGTTACGTAAGGGACTCTTGTACTGGAGATGGAAGGGACGAGTGCGGAGACCCATTCTTGCATTCCCAACTAAACGCCAGCAAGCAAGGCAGGCAATTTTTCTGATGGCAGAATTCAGAATTCCTCATCTCAGGGGGTTGATAAGGAACACCCCCCAAATACGGAGTCCCCAACAGGGTCCGACTGACTCAATAGTCCTTGTATGGGCCCAAATGTCCCTCATAGGTGGGGGTTAGGTTTGGGGTGGCTCATGAAAGCTCTTAATCCTAACTATACGGCACCCCCAAGAAGGGGTCCTAGTTTCACCCATTGCCATGGCCATGTATCCCAAAGACCATACCGTGATCCTAAAGTCTAACCCCTAAACCCAAAATCCCTAAACCCTAAGGCTATGCAGGTCTGTTACGAAACACGAATGTTACCTAAAATAAGAATAAAATAGAAGAGGCTATAGGACCTTGCATGCTCATGACTTTGGTTTTGCCTTCAGCTAGGCAAGTTCTAGGCAAATGGTTTGGCGGCTCACTCAGAATATATATATATATATATGGGTTATATGAAGGGTTATATAGGGATTGGGGTTATATATTGGGATACTGGAAAAATGAAATGGAACCTACTACTGGGGTCTTGGGCCGAAGCTTTGGGCTTAAATCTAGCAGGCGCAAGAACACTTCTAGCACTAGATGTGAGGTCAATGCAATGAGAGTTTCTACACGATCCGTGCGTACCCTACGGGAGCACCACCCCAAAAAAAACATCTCGTTGTATCCCAAAGGTTCAAGTGTTCTGGACTTGCTGGCTTCAAAGATCATTGCGCATGCGTCCAAACTGTCAAACACACCTGTGAATCGCTAAGCTGCATATAACCCTCAGCAGGGCCGTATGTGGAGCCTACAACCATAACTACACTGAAAGAACGTAACATGCTAGTTCTCTTGAGAAAATCCCGTGGTCAAGTCCTGAAATAAATCGGTACGAGGCTCTGTGGGTACCGTGAAAAGAAATTGGGGTGTTGGCCATTTGCAGTATATTTTCCCGAGATGGCCCAATGCCAACCTTCTAATCCCTTGGAAATTTCTACCTCACCCCCTATGAAAAACATCCCGCCACATAGTCCACATATATTGGTGAGGCATACTTAACATTGGAGGTCCGGGGTATGTAATATCAGTATGAAGAGATTGATCTGTCTGGCACGCCCAGCGACCACGATCAGGTTCAGGACACCAAAGACTAGCGTCAACGAGGAGCCAACAAAAATGATGAAGGTCTCCGGATGGTAGTTTATCCTTTGTAGCAAGGATGTTTGGATTACCCCAACCACTAAATGACGGTCCCCTTTGATAGGACATTTATCCTTTGTAGCAAGGATGTTTGGATTACCCCAACCACTAAATGACGGTCCCCTTTGATAGGACTTCTACAAAATGTTTACAGGTTGGGGTTACCAATCCTCTTGTTGCTTTTGTGCAGATGTTGCCCGTGGCTTCCGGTTGTGTGTCTAAGATGTTTTTCTTTTTGGCTCGGGCTCACCATATATCGCGTGATCTCTGCAAGAGACTTCCGTTTGGCATCTTGCGAACCAGTGTGGGGTCTGAGGGTCTAAGCTTTTTAGGTTGATAGATTTTGGGGCTTTAAAGGGCTTAAGCCAGTGTGCGCGGTCAAGCTTTCAAGACTGTGAAGTTTTAAAGGATAGCACTTGAATGTTAATTCGCCATGGTCCCCTGCTGGTTGTACCTCATGCAAAATTCTCAAAACGAGGGGGTTACCCTATTGATATAGGGGGATTATGCGGGGTTTAAAAGGTCCAGTGAGGCATTCTACGGGGATCATGTTGCAAAACCGCAGTCTGCACATGCAAGTCGAAGCCGGAATCTGGAGAGAATGCGAGCTTGTGCTTTGTGCTCTTTCTAGGCTGTTGACCAGCACCAAGTCCCTCCACCCACCCGTGAGCGCAAAAGACTCTATTCCGTAGGATTCCTGCAGAGCTGTAATCTAGACTCCTAGCATCCCCTCTAATAAGCCCTACAATTACTCCCATATATAATCCCCGAAATAATTCCCCTTAAGGAGTTTAGACTACGTCTCATATGGCCCAGCGGCACAGGCACAGCGATTTGACCCCAACTGTCACCAGCAATGACGGTCTTGAAGAGCAGCAGGTTTGCATCCATCACTGACCCAGTAGCTTTCACACATTGCTGGCAATCCGCGAATTCCCCGCTCTCGCTGAGCTCCTTGACAAATGGGTGGACAATCTCAACGATCATCATCGCCTGGGCTCTACTTTACGTATTCAATGTTGCTCACTGCCCCCCTGCCTGCGCCCTACCTGTAGCTTAAGGTTAGTTAAGGAGGGAACCTAGGGGGCAGTATAGAATTGGGGATGGAATGGGGAACCCATGATTTAAAGGCCGCCAATAGCATTTATGAAGGTCCGTTACAAAAAACCTACCAGCAAAAAGACCCCAAATAGCCAGCACCCTGGTCACCACTCGAACAGCACCCAGAACCGGAAACTGCATGCCGATTGCTTTTCTACAAAATTTCGAAGCTCAATAGCTCTGCTATCTCCCCTAAACCCTAAAACCTAAACCCTTAAACCCTAAACCCTAAACAAAGGGAAATTCTCCTATCCAGCGGACCTCTTAAGTCCTAACCCTGTAACCCTCCAACCCTTAACCAGATTTAGGGCCCTTCACAAAATACTTTGCTCTGGCTTTAGCTTTTGGGAAGTACTCAGGGATTACGAAAACGATGTTCAAACCTACCCCTCTGAACCCTAAACCCTTAAACCCTTAACTCTAAACCCTCGACCCTGAACCCTAAACCCTCAACCCTAAACCCTTAAACCCTAAACTTCAAAAAATCGGCCCTAAACCCTAAACCCTAAACCCCTAAACCCTAAACCCCTAAACCCCTAAACCCTAAACCCGTAAACCCTAAACTCTTCAACCCTAGTGGCCCAAATCGTCATGATCACGAAGCAGAAAAGGAACGACCAGGCCAAGGCTTTCATGCATGTGGTCCTCAAAGTTTAGGGTTTAGTGGTTTAGGGTTTAGGGTTTAGGGTTTAGGATTTAGGGTTTAGGGTTTAGGGTTTAGGGTTCAGTGGTGTAGGGTTTGGAGCTTAGGGTTTAGGGTTGAGGGTGCGACAGAGGGTTTAGGGTTTCAGGGTGCATGGGGGTTTCCTCAATTTGGGGGTACCACTTTGGGGGTCCCAACAATAGGGAGTATAGTATTTGGTGTTCTCTAGTGGTCCCCTATTTATGGAAACTACCACACGTTTTGGAGTCAGTCTTCCCGGTGCTCAGTAGGAAAACAGACAAAACATGGAACTACTACGTTCTTTGGCTTCCAGGATTCAGGATGTTGGGGGGTTCGTAGAACGGGTGGAACTGTTGATAGGGACCATGAAACTGATACAACAGGATTATGTAGGGGTTGCTAGATGGATCCATTCCTTCATTCCCGACAAACCAGGTTTGATGGTCTCTACTACGGCGGGTTTAACAATCCCGCATGACCCTAAGTACCCTAAACCTTGGGAAGTACGGTGCTCTAGTAGACTAAGGTCAGGCAGGAGTTGTAGTATAGACGGTAATTACACCATACGCATGACTTTGACACATTACCCGCTGTCCAGTCTTTCCAAGACTAACTGGTCTATCTCTTATTTGTACAGGTAAGAGTCAACATGATGACCAACTTCTGCAACTCTTTCAGAGACCGGCTCTTCCGCAGCAGGTTCATCAAGCGGACGATTCTTGCCAAGCGCAAGACGCGCAAAGTGCCTAAGGAGTTGGCAAGATCCCCGCCTCCTGAAAGCCTTGTCAGAGCCAGTTCCACATAGCCACAGATCACAATGGCTGCGTCCAGCACGACCATCCAGTCTCTGAGCGCGTGAAGCCCTACCACAGCCAGGACCATGAACAGCTCTGCGGTGTAGAGAAACCTCATTTCCCATTACCTTAGGAACCTCAAAGAAATTAGACGAAGCTCCTCGCAACCCGCAGATCTGAACATTCTGAAATGAGATCCCAGAAGCAAACAAATTTCAGACAAAGTCTTCACAATATCCGGGGTCGTCCTACCAGCCGCCCTGGAGTCGATGTCAGTTGCAGTGAGAAGGGCATCGAGAAGCACCACCAGTGCCATGAAATTAGAAATGTAGCCGCGCTTGACGAACTGTGCCATTCTTGCCCGGGCTCTTGCCAACAAACCCAGGCCACTCTTGACAGAAAGCTTTTCATCGCTCTCCAGTTTCTGGAAATTACCTAGGATCCGCAGTAACCTAGAACTAAAAAGTGTATTCATACACTCGTTTTCTAAAACGAACCCACCGACGCCAAAAGTGGGAAAGGAGCTTTTTGAGGAAACCCTCAAGCTCGAACCCCAATCCCTACCCTTGAAACTCTGAATCCTAGGCCCCTAGCCCCCTAAACCCCCAACCCTAAACCCCTAAACTGCTAGACCCCTAAACCCCAAGTTACAAAGGATTACCAGGGAACCAAGTCACCCATAGCTACGATGCTCCCACGCTTCTTTGCTGCATCACCGGACATCACATCGCTGCCCCTCGGCTGCTGCGAAATTACCGGTGTCCATTTAAAGTGGTTATAGGGTTTAAGGTTTAGGGTTGACGGTTTAGGGTTTTAGGTGGGGATGCACCTGGTGGTACTCTTGCATAATGCATATAAGTGTATACAGGGAGACTAGGAAGGTGGTCTTTATGTAAGGCTGACATGGGTGAAATTACCCTCTTGAAGTTTCCTCAGAGTATGGCGTGATGTAGGGTTCAGGGCTCAATATAATCATGTACAGATTCTCAAGGGATAATGGCGGTCCCTTGACTCTAAAATTGAAGATACACAGCCCCCATTACAAATGCTCTCGTTTCTGATGTTAAAACACCACAATGGAGAGCATTCAACAATAATGGGGCCAGTAGGAGTAGGGTGCGTTTCATCATTGGTGATCTTGGGATCCCAAAAAAAAACCAAGATTTCTGATACTCATTGATAGATAGCATTGCGATGCAAATTCAGAGACTTCCTATAGCCTATAGCTGCGTCACATCAACAAACGGGATTCGGAAAATAGTTAGGACCTATAGCCTAAAGCCCAAACCCTCTTCACATGTAACCCGGGTTCATAGTCATCGATCTTCGCGGCCCGGCAGAGAAGACGCTCGATGGGCTGTCAGGACGACCAGGTGAGCCTGGTGACCCAGCACTGGATGATGAGCGACCAGCTTTCATGGATTTCATTTTGCCGCCGGAACCCCTTGATGTCTCGGAGTTCCATGTTGTTACTTGTTGGCCACCATCGCCCTCCTTCGATGAGCCGCCGGAGGTCTGACGCTGGCCATCTTGCAGCATATGGTGCGACATGGTCTGCCTAATGGTGAGGCCTCGAGGTGCCTAGAAGCCGCTACTACCACCGCACGGCTTGAGCAAGACTTCGGAGAGACGGAAGTGCAAGCGTCATAAAAGTACACCTTGCTAGCGCCGTTCGCCAATCAAGGCTTCTCGAGTCACATCATTCGAGTACATGGAAAGATGCAATGACAAGTTCAGCCATGAACCCTCAACCCCTCAACCCCTAAACCCCCAAACCCTAAAGTCGTAGAGAGTCTACCTCAAGCTGGCCCGGCTCAGGATGAATTAATCCCTGTATACAAATCTTGGCTTGTACAAGTAGGGCGACCTGCCAAGGAGGATATGCGGGTTATATAGGGTTACACAAGGTTATATAGGGTTTAGGGGTTAGGGGTGAGGCTTTCTCAATATTAGGAGTACCATTTTGGGGGTCCCCAGAGTAAGGACTGTAGTATTTGGGGGTCTACATTGAGGGTCCCCTTTTTGGGGGGGAGACTACCATCTAGGGGTATGTATATAAGGGAATGGAAAAAGCAAATGGGAACGAGTTTAGGGTCCAGGGTTGCGGGCCTAGGGCCGACATTAAACAACCCCCCCACACCCTCCAACGATGAATATATTCCCCCATACATCAGGTCTCTTATGGGGAATCTTCAATATTAAGGGTTGCGGGGGTGCTGAATTTAAGCATGAGGGGGCAACCTGGCAAATATTGTGACGGATCCTAAGAGCTACACTCCCCCAAACTAACATGGAAACCCAATAGTCCCTTTTTAGAAGGACTGTAATCTTTGTAGGGCTCCTTTTTGGTTTCCATGTTAGTTTCCGGGAGTGTAATGTCTACACCTTACACTTGCAACAAAAGATCTGAAGATTGAGCCCTACACCTGCAACAACTGTACTTTCGGATTATTTCTAAACCCTACACCCTAAACTCTCTGGAATTTCAGGCCATATCACTGCCCTTTACGCTTCCCCTAAGTAGGTTAGTATAACCCCTATAACGCATATAGTAACCCTGCTTACTAAGTCTCCCTGACCCTCCAAGTAGGAATCAACCTGCGGTTAGGGTGCAGGTCATGTTGAAGAGCTTTAAGATATTGGGTTGAGGGTTTAAGGTGTGGGGTTTAGGGTTTAGGGTTCAGGGATAAGCCCTTATCATTTCAATAAAGACTTGGTGTACATCACACTGCACCTATATGTGGGCTATAGGGGGTTCTATTCCTAAGTATTCAAGCGTCCATGTTGCAGGTTTCCTTTGGAGAGCTGCCTCTACGACAGACCACTGACGCATGACGGGGACCTTCAGTACGCCAATTCCATGACATTTCCACCTAGGCTTCGTATGTACCATATCCCCAAGCTCTAAACCACAAAGCCTCAAGCCTTAAACCCTCAACCCCGAATCGCATCTTCACATGATAAATAGAGCCTCTCGCAGATCCGTACGAACATCAGGAGCAGATGCACCCTCATAAGAATAACATAGCATAAGCCAGCTATGGTTGAAGAAAATTATAGCACTACCCTACATAGCCCCAACTTGCCAACAATGTTAATTACAGTGCTTTGGTGGTACTGAGTGACGCAAGATTTCATCCATCCACCATGTGCACTCTGAAGCTGACAGCTCTTTGAAACCTGAATCCTCCGTAATCCTTCCCTACAGCCTTCGCACCACCCCACGCCCCTCTAACAGATTGGGAGTTTTTGCTAGCGTGCGTGGTTCTTTCGTTTGGACAGAGGTTCTCCAACCATGCACCCATTACTTCTTCTACATCCATAGCCTTGGGGCTTCCACTCGTGGGCCAGTCTAAAATTCTGGGCGCTAGGCCAAACAGGAGGAAATCCTGCATGACCCTGTATTCCCAAGCTCTGGAGTTTTGAGTCGTATACTAGATTCCTCGGTCATACACCATTTTGCCCATGAACAGTACCACCTGACCGCGCCTGCTGAAGGGAACAAAAGCACAAGACCCCTCGATACAGAACAGAAGCTCAAATATCTTCTAGGGTGTGTGAGCAGACGAACAGACCTGGGGAGCACTAAACAAGGACACATGAGGCGGGCTTTGCACTGGATGTAATGTCAGAGTATTAGGGTTTAGGGTTCTAAAGGTCAATATCGGCTTAGGTTTTCATCTTGTGGGTGGTTATCAAAATTGTGGTCCCTTTTTGGGTACCCTAAAAATTAGGTGCCGTATTATAATAGGGATCCAAAAAGGGACCATAAATTTGACAACCACCCATGTAGAGCTTTTCCAAATGAAATTCCCGTACGGGATTCTGGGAGTTGGGCTTCAGGGGATCGAATTTTTTGGATGACAATAGGTTTTGAACTACCAACGAGGTTCAAGGTTACCTACTGGACAGTTAGACTGCACAAACCAAAGGTTCGGATGTTAGGGTTTAGGGTGTTGGGCCTAGGTTTTGCAATACAGGTTCGGCAAAGAAACGCAATCTCACTCAATGCCGACTGGTCTGTAGAAACAGGTTCGTGGTTTTCAGGGATGATCAAGCAAGACGGCGTTACACCAGGATCTGGCCCAAGAAATACCCTGTGCTGAATCTAACATGGAACCCCACATAGAGCTCTGTTTTTGAAGGACAACAGTCCTTGTAGGGCCCGTTTTCAATCGGGCGCTTAGGCGTTTAGGGGCTTCGGGGCCTCACAACTTAGCCTCATACAAACCCCAAGATCTCTCTGAAGCCTCTAACCTTATGAGAAGGAGGGAAAGGCTGGAATTCTATCCAAGGACTTGTTACATGCACCTTCATCCAGCAATGAGCGTTGCTCGAGGGGGAGCAGATCACTGTAATTATCACTGTATACCCCCCCTTTGACAATAGCTATATACGCGTCCACACTCCTCCCTAAGCAAAGACAGGGCTCTCTGGGTTTCGAGTCTGGGGCTTGGCCAAAACTAGCTACACCTAGACCATTTGAGGTGGGCCAGTGTTCACGTATTATTTGGCTCTTGGAAGGTCTCCTTCCCACTTGCGAAAACCCCTGGTAGAAGGCGACCCGGGTAGTCAGGGTTGCAAAGGTATTTTGAGTAGGGCGTGGTGTGGTAGGCACTTATGTGAGCCATTGTCTAAACTCGTAGTATCCCCCTTAAGAAGTCCCCTACATAATCCCTCATATGACCCCCCGTAAGAAGTTTCGACTATAGCTTATGTAACATCACAGCTTCAAATCAAGGACCTGGGGATAGGCAAGCCATGGACCGACGGGTCCTGGCTTGCTTTTTGGAGCACTTCAATGCTCCTCAGGACCTGCAATGGCTCTATATCTGTAAAAGGCGAAAGTGTTGGCTCATTCATCGGATTCAGAGGTTCTCACATTTGGGTACTCTCAGAGAACCTGCTCATAGGGTTTAGGGTTGAGGATTTAGGGTACTGGACTCATGAGTCCTGAAGCAGTGGCTCTTGAACTCCTGCGCAAGTCAGACCCCCCCTATACTATATCCTCTCCAAAAGAGACCCCATGACTATATCGGGGAACCCAGAAAATTCCGTCGACCATAGCAGAACCTAGCTCATGCGTCAAGAGCTGCCTTTTGTCTGGGTTGTTGCTATCTATAGGGGCTCTAGGAGGAACCCATGGGGTTTAGGGTAATGGGATTAGGGGTCCCTTGTAGGGGTCCCTCCTGATAACGCTTGATATTTGGGAACTTGAACTAAGCTGCCATAAAATAGACATGCAGCGCCTTTTTTGGTTTCCTTATAAGAGCAGCCCTAGCATCAACCCAGAAGCCCTTGAACTGTAACTGCCATATATATGAGAGTTTTTCTGGATGATCCCACTCTGACCCTCATCGGCTCTATGTTTCCAGGGGCAACGTGGGAATCGGCTTTGACAGAGCCACCCCACGACTTTTTCAAAGCCCGATTGCGAGCTTTTCGTTTGCCAAGTGCTTAAGTACACACTAAACCCTGAACCCCTAACCCCCTGCCCTAGCGCGAATGCTTTGTAAGCTTGGCAGATTATATTAGGTTCAGGGTTGTGGTATATGTGCACACATACCTATACATACACTGACATGCTAAATGATCAGATCTCGAAACAATCAGGAAGCTGACATTGCAGTGGCTATCGCCTTTCCCAGGCAGAGCTGTTGTTCTTTCCACATCTCAAAATT